AGAAACAGTGCAGATCTCCCTCCCCGCAGGGGTGCTCCCCTCCTGGAAGCTCAGCTCTCTGCCTGCACTGATACTGCTCCAGCTTGCACACCACCAGTGCTGCTTGGCTCATCTTCACATCAGCTTTGCCAACAATGTTGTTGCCCCAGACCACTTGGGGATGCTTCTTTTACCCCTTCTGGGGTAGAGGTTGGACTTGATGATCGTAAAGGTCTTTTCCAACCTAGTGGATTCTATGATTCATTGGGAACTAGTGGGAGAGGGCTGACGGATGCTGGTGCCTTTGCTTGCCTGCACACAGGGATGCAGACAGTTACTCCCATCTCCCCTCCCTAGGATGTATTTTCCCATGTGGGAATCATCACTCCTGATCGGATCACAGCAGTGGGAGTCCCCAGTGCTCCCCTACAAGTGGTACATGCACAAGGCCTCCCAAAGCAGTTGCAAATCTTCCTCATTCCAACTCAGGCATCTGCATCTCCACAGACACTGCCTCCCTGTATGGCTGGAGCAGGAGGACACGATCATGAAGTTCACTCCAGTGGTGTGCTGCTACAAGCCTGGCAAACCAGTTGAGGCTTCAGCGATTTCTCTCAGACAACAGACACCTTTCAAGCAGCAGACTCCTGATGGCCTGCCATTTGTTTAATCTACAGCCCATAGCATGATTTTGACAGGGAAACTCCCATCCATTCCCTCCTACTTCCGCAGAGCCCAACGTACTGTCTTGGCCCCATATTGTCCCAATTTTGGCATTTTAATGCAAGAGCAGCAAGGGATTTGTTGCATGAGGCACAGCCAATGCTGCGCAGCACCTCATTGTCTCCTTTCCAAAAGGAAGAGAAGGAAGCCACTGTCTGGTCATTTTGGCCTGCCTAGAGCACTCTCCACCAGGCTCTGCTCAGTGATGAGGCTTGCTCCAGCTGATAAACCCGTGGAAAGCATCAGGAATATCAGAACTGCCTTCTGCTCCACAGCAGGTCTACCAGTGATTTGGTTTCTTCTGAGCCGGGCAGCTGCAGGATACGCTACTCTCTGCAGTTTTAACTGTCATTTTCCCCTGGTTTTATTTTGGGGTCCACAGTTCAGGCACATCCTCCTTTTACAGGACAGGCAAACAGCACTGGTGCGATCATTGTTTCTCCCCCGCACACCTAGCTTCCCACAGCCGGTTCCTCCTGCCACCCCAAAAAGCTCTCTGTATTTTGCAAGAAGGGGATGCTGCAGTTGAAAATGGTTGTTGCTTCAGGAAAAACAACAGAAAAAGGCTTTGGGTAGGAATGGGCTTAACCCCTCCCACCACCACATTGAGCAGGGATGGAGGCTGGACTGCAAGAGTCAGGATAGTGTGATGCCAGCCTGAGCGAGCAGCCATGCCCCGAGGAAATGGGGCACTTCATGCCTTCAGATGAAGTAGATCCCTCTTACCTTCACTTGATGCTGCCTGTGCCGTGGAGTATCTCTCTTCAGTCGTCTGCTGAAGCTCTTCCTCCTCCCCCCAAACACAACCGTTAATGAGCCATAGGCTGTTACAGAGCCTGGGCCCTTTGCGATGGGGAAGGCGGCAGCAGAGCTGCCTCAGTGGTCAACAGCTGAAAAGAGGTTTTCTTTCCAGGGTCTGTAAGCAGTTGCTGCTTTACAGTTCACATTTTTCCATTTGGGAAATCAGGTTTGGGACAGACGCTACAATAGCAGCCTCAGATCAAAGCAGTTAGTAAGGGCTTTACGCACCGTAGCAGAACAGAGGTTCAAAGGGTAGGGAAAAAAATTCCTATAGCTGCTGTTTGGAGGGATCATGATAAAAAAATCAATTAAAAATACAAAACCCCACCATCTTCTTGCAAGCACAGCCTCAAGCAAATGCACATGAAGCCACAAAGGAGAGGGAAATTCCTGCCCTGATGTGTCTGTCCCCAGCCAAAAAAATATGATTAAGGTAATAAGGACAGACTAAAGGGAAACAAGCCAGAATGATGTAGCTGGACCCAGAACAAAGTTCTCAAAGAATTAAACTCTCTGATCCATGAGCATCTGGATTCCAGGTCCTGAAAAATCCAATACTGCAAACAAAATGGACAAACATAAAACAGGGACATCTGATATTTTGCTCAGCTGGACAGGACATTAAATGGGAGTTCAAATTTCAGGGAATGGCATTTAACCTGGATATCCCACTGCCTGGACGAATGCTCTGACCACTGCTGAGGTTATCTTCCCTCTCCTCTTCTGTTCCATTCCTCCATCACCAAAACGACCTTGCAAACTCAGGGTGAGCTTTCTACCCACTAAATCTGGTAAATGAACTGTCTGGCTATAAACTCTCCTGATTCTAGTTGTTCCTCTTTTCTTCTTCAGGGTGAAAACCAGCAAACCGTATCATTTCAGAGTACTGACACCAGCTGATAAAGTAATCCCAACACTTGCCTGCTGCAGATTAAAGAAAGCCCCATAATTACTGAAAAACCTGCAAGTTTTGCTTCTGTCAGTGACCATCTTTATTCCTTATCACTACAGTACACTAATGTTTAACATCAGCTATCAAACTTCCCATCCTCAATAACTAGCAAAAAAGTGGGGATCCAAAGGTGGCATCATGAACAGCCAATGAAAGAAGTTTACTCCATCTACCACTGCCAACATGAAGGGAAACAGCCTCTTGTAGCCAGAAGAATTTCTTGTGCCTCTTTTGAGTTCCTGGCATGCCAACATAGCAGCCAACATAGCAGCCAACATAGCAGCCAACATTTGATGCAGGGAGAAAGACACGAGGCCATGTGGCAGAGGAGACACCAAACCAACCATTATGTAGTTTTCAGAGTAACAGTGGTCAGCCAGTGGGAACTACAGTTTGGCCTGAACTGGGAAAATACCAGTAGAAAGTCAACCAAGACTTAAGTTTGTTCAAATGCTGCTTAATTTTTGCTTTCCAGCTAATCTATCATGTGAATTTCCTGCATTTACTTTCACTTGACGCATGAAAGTACTTTATGAGCACTGATAAAAACTGACATTCAGTTAGTAACTAACTAAATTAACCAACTAATTAACTAATATCTAGTTAGTCCCCCAAGCTAAACAGATGGAACTAGCAGCAGTTAGTGAAATTTTGCTCTCCAGGGGAGCTGGTTTGGTGAAACTCAAGAGCAGAAGGAAGAGAGAGTAGTTTCTAATAGTGACACAACTCCTAATTGTACAGATCATCACTTCAGCTGCAAAACAGCGTGTCCACATGAAATGCAATTTGCATAAATCACATTAGCCAGGCCAAGTCCTGCCCGCATTGCACTACATGGAGGAGCTCAATGCTGACCTCAGTGAGTCAGAGGTGTGGCTCAGCCTCGTGGGAGTATGAACAAACTCCCAGTCAAAAACTGGGTATAGCAACAAGGTGCACTACACATCTTAAAAGCAGCCTCGGTTAAGAGCAGCCTCGCTTAAATCCCTGGTCTGCAGATAATTCTCCTCCCTCGTTCACTGACTGCCCACTCCTAACACAAGACAAAACACTTTGACAGGAAGCTCCAGCAGGATTTTATTCAATACAACAAGATTGAAGAAGAATGGTGTACATTACTGATTTTTCAAGTTGCTAAAACAAACCCATAGTGACAGGAACAACTGAGGCTGATGACACAGGAAGCAGCGTGGCGACCATCTCTCTAGTGTCCATACCTGCAAACACGTAATATGTTAATGCTTTTTAAAAAATCATGTTTTGCACTAGTGCAGATTTATTCTCATTCTACCACGATGTAATTAACATGTAAGCCAGATGAAGGTGAAATGCTATGGTATGGAAACCTTCTCAAGCTCTCCATATTTCACTTTCCTCAAAAGTCTATCCAGACACTAGTTAGAAGAGAGCCTGAGCAATCCACACTATTATATGCATGAGACCCTCAGTATCATCACCCCTTTTCAAGTATATCCTGCATGAAAACAAGGCCAAAGCTTGTCATAGCCCCAGACATATTCCTGAGCACCTGTAAGATGACATTCATTCACATCTTCACTCCTCAATCACGTCCATGCAGTATTAAGTCACCAGCCAGGCAACACAGGCTCAGTTTTCACTAAGTGTTCATTAAAATGTCTTAATATCAAAACTGTGGTACTCAAGTTGTCACGTCAATGACAATTTGCACGACTGAGTGTGAACCAGATCCCAAAGACAATCCTGAACAGTCAGAATGTCGGGTTCCTCTGTTTTAATCTGGGCTCTTCTGGCTAGAATTTTTTTTTTCTTTTTTAAGGGGTGGGGAAAGGCAAAATCCACAGCTGAGATTAATGGATAAACAGTGCAAAATGAAGCAAGTGACAGGCAAACATCCTAACTGCTCTTAATGTATCTCTCAAAATACAATTATCCCCCAAAAACCCATCCATGAATCTCCTATTGTTATTCTAACATCAGACCTTTGAAAAACACAGAACAAAACAAAGAATACAGAAATTATGAATAAATGGTCTGAGGCTGTAGCACTGGCTACATGGACATTTGATTTCCAGATGCTATGAAATCAGCTGTATGAATCTCTAAGACTATTAATAGAGTTACAAAACAAATCACCAAGATACAGAGGGACCCAACAGGATGTCTGGCACCTCAGCAGAAATGCTTTGGAACACAAGCAACTAAATTCAGGTCGTTTTCTAAACCCAAGTTACTCATGTGGCAGCATAATACTCACCTGAATCTCACTTTGAGTGAATTCCATTTCTTTCCTGCTCTCTATTCTTTAGAGAAAATGTCAACAGAAATCACTACTTTTTACCAACTCCCACTTAACTCACAATGTTTGGGCTTCATTCAGAGCTCATTTAGCACCAGGTGACTAAGGAAAGGTCCTTATACAGCAAAGGTGGAGAAAAAAAAAGCCCTTTCTCAACAGCAACTATGCTCTCAGACCCCCAGATAAGAGAAATTAATATCTGACATTCATCATTTCTATTAACAGAAAGACAATTGGATATTTCATCTTAAATTCTGTGCAGGATACCTACTTTTGGAACTCCCATTCCCGGTTGTCCAGCGGACATACTTGGCGAGTTTTGAGCCAGCGAGAGATGCAGTGGAAGTGGAAAGCATGCTGGAAGAGAAAGTTCACATCACATCATTTCAGAACACACAAACATATCTCAATGTGAAAACTACCACTGAAAGCACTAGGGTAAGAAGAGAGTAGCTAAGTGCTTGCAGACAAAGGTAGGGAGGACTAATCAGCCAGCTCACTGGTAAACATCAAGGAATTGATCCAGATTTTCAGAGAGGAAGGGAACATTAGTGAAATGGCAGCAGGGACCCTGTTCCACAATGCATGCAGTGCTGACTAACTTCTGATGAAGGAAAGAACACTGAGTTTAGCAGCTCCTAAAACTGGCAGAGCAGATGCTGATAAGAAGCATAATCAGAAAGACAAGAAAGAAGATTTCACAGTGATTAGCAGGGATGATATGTATGTATACGTGCTGAAGCTTTCTGACACTCATCTGGACAAACCAAAGCCTGAATTAAAAAGGAACTTGCAAAATTAGAAAGAAAAAAAGAGTCTGTTCATGTGTTTAATAAGGACACCCTTTTCCATACGCCATACAGCTACATAAAAACAACATTCCACTTGTAGTGACTAACACACAAAGATGTAATTTTGACACTAGAATATCCTGACATGGTTAAAAAAGTTGCTCTTGGCCTCTACAAACAGAATTGCAACATTTATAATCCTGTTCCAGCATTATCACACTGTGACTTGATCCCACAGCACAGTGAGGATGGGACTGAGGAACAGGTAGTTAATTCCATTATGGAAAATGTTACCTTCCAACTCAGGCCCAGGCTAGCTAAAGGGCATGTAAGTCTGAGTTCACATGGTAGTGGGACCATGTATGAAGGAATGCATACAGCAAAAAATTGAAGAGCTGGAGATTACGCACTAGAACCATCTTCCTCCAAAATGGAAAGCAAATCACCTTGTTACCCCATACTGACTCCTCGAAGCAGCCTGATGAGGACAAATGAAGCATGCTGAGATCAAAATAATCCTATTGCCAGGAAAAAAGAAGGCATAGTTCCTCGGCAGAACCTTCATCAGGAAAACCATGCCCAAAGATCTATTATTCTTAAAAAAAAAAAAAGGCCTATTTTCCTTCCTTTTCTTCTGCATCTTCTATATTACACCTCTCCAACTCTCACTTCCCCCCCACCTTCTCTCTCCTTTCTGCACTCTACTAAAACATATGGTGTTTAAGGTTCTTTTTTATGGTGGATTATCTGAAACATTTTATAGAACTCATTTTGTCCTGTGTTATGAAAAAAGGGGATAGCACATGAGCTCTGCAATAAAATAGTTTTCCTTACATTGCAGACACCCCATGCAACTGTGCACTCTTCAGAGGTAGCTGATGCTTGGTTCGCTTGACATTCTATGCCTGTGAAAACAAAGATTAAACACATACATGCAGGAGTAGAAGATGTACATGGAACACCAACTGGTAGATTTCTTCTCTTAACATAAATTTACTGGTTTGTCAGACATGATATCAGTTATATTTACAAATTACTTTGTTCATGTAATGCTGGGGCTTGCCTGTCTTTTTTTTCTATAGTCTTGTGACACACCAAAAACACACAATAGGAAATACATTTTTAAAAAATCATGTTTTGAACTTTTTATACCTTGGAATTGAGTACCCAGGAGGATCCCAGAAAGAATAAAGACTATTTATGGGTTTGGGTTATGTTTTAGGGGGTTTGTATCAGGTGACATGCATGAAAGAGACAAAAGAGGAAAGAAGGAAAAACAGCACTGGGAAAATAAATACAGCAACTTGGTACTCCATTCTAGAGCCTGAACGCTTCACTTCTGCTGCAGGTCAAGGAAGAACTTCAGGAGAAAATAGGGATTACCAACTCCTCCACAATCACCAGCACAAACCTACGGACCAACATTTTACTTCCTATTAAAGGATGCTTTCTTTAAATGTCAAGGCCAAATTATTCTTAAAAGCTCATGCTAATAGGTGATCAGCTTAGAACTCAATAGATGGGCTTCTTGCTGGCTCATTTTGCGGATCTTGGCAAAGAAAATGCCTGAATGAGCTCTAATTCTCTTCACTGTTCATGTGCCTGAATATGCTCAGAGAAAAAGGAATTTGATTCACCAATTAAAGATTCAAAAACTTCCAAACTGCACAGGTTTGGCTGAAAAATTTGACCTTTATTTGCTCTGGTTTTTCTCCAGTTTTCACTCTCTTTCAGGTGTGGAGATGAACAAAATAAAAGAAAGGCCCACTTTTCCCAAGATGCGAAAGAGATCACTTAACCTTGGTCAGGAGGAGCTACTCTAAACAAGACTGAGGTCTAAAGAAATGCAGTAGCAATGACTGTTCTGCAAGATTCAAATGAACTTGTATTTATTATATGGTTTGCATCAAGATATACATAGGTGGAAGTCCAAAACTGGCCTGCCTATAGGGGAATAAAATCCAGCGCACCTGAAATATTTGAGGTCTTAATTCCTTAAGCCCTCAATACAGCAATAAAACTAAATCTGGTTATGAAAATTGGAAATGCTCAAGAACCTTGAGGAGCTTCAATTACTTCAGACATTTGTTTAAAACTTGACACCCAAGATCACCACAACACAACACTGCACTACAGACTTACGATCCTGCTGAGTGTCATGGGGCATATTATATTAAGTTTTAAATATTTGGCATGAGTCTCTACAGTAACAGAAAATGGAGAGAAGGTGAGTAGTAGGAAAAGGAGAGGAAACTCATTTGAAGGAAGAAAACTCAAATTCCTCCGTCTCTAAGCGGCCCCAACATGTGAGCGGTCTGCTTTGGAACACAATACAATTATTTGATTTTTTAGGCTTTAAAGGACTCTGTATTGTGACTGCAAGGGAGAGGGAAGAACGGTGGTTTAGATAAGGAAGAAAAGCAGCACTGAAATTCATTTCAGTGTTACTCAAACATTTGCCAAGAAGCAAATACAGTCCCAAAAGCTTAAGAGGACAGATGAACTTTTGCAGACACAGCTGAGGAGGAGTTCGCTGGTGGTGATATAAGGCCCTTTCAGCAAGACACCCAGATTTAACTCCCTCATCAAACATGCTGGAGACTACTGCTGGCACTAATACCTCTGGCTGCCAAAAAAGGCCCTCCCAAAAGCTGAAGCACTTTTGGGTCTCCTACTTGCCTCATTTCAGAAAAGCACAGTATCTCAACAATGAAATGTAACAGATGAACAATTGCTGTCAAAGAATGAAAGCTGCTAATTTTGACTTTTGAAAGAAAGACAAGCTGACCCAAAAGAAGCGGTAAGACAGTAACAGGTACTGGAGGAATACTGAAGAACTCTTCTGCTGCCTTGCTTTTGACAGAGTATCTGTAGGTGTGGGCAGAAAGATACAGCAAAAACCTGAAATGCCTGTAAATAATTGTGAAAAATGCAACAGAGGCATTTCAACTCATGGAGTTACAGAAATGCTTATTATATAATGGCAACTTCTGAATCTTGGCATCTATGAAGAACCATCCCTCTTCCTATGCATTTACTATAGCAGAAATCTTCTGTATATTTATCTAACAAGAAGAGTAACCCAAGATTTAACTAGCCATAATGGCAGGTAACAGAAGAACATGTCTTTTGTTCGCAGCTACAACAGCCCACTGCACTGGTAAATTTGATGGTAAAAACTCTTCAAAGTGGCTTCCGCTTGAGCAAAGATAACCACTGTATAGGTTTCCCTTTCTCTTTACATGTTGCCTTCTAAAACTACGCCATGAAGGGATCAACTTATTGGGAAGAAGAGAAATAAATACACATAGCTCGGCTAACATGACACATTATGTACTCGCTCAGAAAACAGAGACAGAAAATACCAATAACTAGGCAAACAAACTTTAAGTACAATTCTACTTGTCCTGTGAGGAACGGCTGAGGACTTTGGGATTGTCTAGTTTGGAAAACAGGAGGCTGAGGGGCAACCTCATTGTTCTCTACAGCTTCCTGAGGAGGGGAAGTGGAGAGGGAGGTGCTGAGCTCTTCTCCCTGGATACCAATGATAGGATGCATGGGAATGGTTCAATGCTGCATCAGGGGAGGTTTAGACTGGACATTAGGAAGCGTTTCTCTACCAAGAGGGTAGTCAAACACTGGAACAAGCTTCCTAGAGAGGTGGTGAATACCCCAAGCCTGTCAGTGTTTAAGAGACATTTGGGAAGTGTCCTTAACAACATGCTTTAGCTTTTGGTCAGCCTTGAATTGGTCAGGTGGTTGGACTAGATAATGGTTTTAAGTCCCTTAGAACTGAAATAGTCTAGTCTATTCCCTCAAAATGCAGACCAAGCTCTTCAATTTAGTTCTTCAAACTTCAGAGGAACTTCGGAATTTTCCCCTTGCAATTCTCTCAAATTTCTTAGGAATTATCTGCAGATTTGACTAAATACTTACCCTGAGTTCCCCCCATCATATCATCATATGATTCCTTCTACTTATAACCCCCTTGTATGACACTCTATTTCCTGTTGGTATCACACTCCCAAAATACATGTACACCGCTATCATCCTCCACTCCTACTTGTGACTTAGCAAACTATATATACTTACTTCTGTTCTTTTATTCTTCTCATAAATCCAAGGCCATTCTTTTACCAAATCATAATGTACATACATAAGGCAAACTGCATGACACCTTAACATTGATGCCTGACTATAATATTAACAATTTCCATTAGCATGGCTGATGTTACTTATCATTCTTTTAATGATTTCACTTTCAGAGTTTCTCCTCATCACTAGGAGAGAGACATTTGTATTCTGCATTTTATCAAATTGAACCTTGTGTTGTTCTTCCCTGCACATTCTATTAATTTTTCCTCAATTTCCCATCACTTCACATCTCATGTTTGAAAATCTAATTAAAGTGTTGTTTAACAACATTAATGATCTGTAACAAGGAAGTAAGTAAATCCAGAGCCAACACTGATCTCGGAACACCAATTTAGATACTCCTTCTACTCTGTATACTGTCAACTGTGGTCTGTCATTTGCAGTCCAGGCTTTTTCTAACATTGCTCATACCCAAACTAATAACATGTTATGCTTGAGCGACAAAAGAACCCCCAAAACCCAAGAAGAGGGGGGAGGAAATCTACCTACATACTCTTCCTTCACTGGTTTTCCTAATCTACCTATACACTCTCAAGCCCATCCCCATTTTGGTAGGATCTGTTTTTTCTTTCTTTCCCCCCCCAGGAACTGACACAAGAAATTCACTACTGGAAAATAACATCAATCCATTCTCTTTCCAGCTTCTCCACACCTCTCCTTCATCCCCATGTCCTATTTGCTACTTATAAAAACCAACAAATATCTGAGAATGTATTTAGTCTCTCATAGAAGGCACTATTAATTTTGAGGCAGATCCATAAAATGAAGCATACCAGCATCCACTATCCTACAACATATCCCACTTGTCGTGGATAATTATCTTGAATTACAGGATTTTATATATTCATTCTATACATTTGCAAATTCTGTAAATGTAACTTATGATCTAACAAATGCTTAAAATTCCGTTTGCCTGTCAGTGACATGCTTTCCTCTCTAATATATCATAAATCTGAGACAATAAGTAGTAGCCAAGTGTCCACCTCCTTTTGAAACTACTTTTCAAGATGGTGCAGGTTAGAGGTACTTAAAAAGAAAATCTTTACATCAAAGGACATCGGCATATTTCACAACCCCTATTCTCACTTGTTTCTCTTTAGTGTTGTCATTCCCCTTCTTATAACCAGCAATAAACTGAGGCATGGATAGGCATTAGTTGGCTAAAAATATAGACATATCTGTCCCAAAGCAGAGAAGATGCTTAACCCATTTTCAGCCATGTGTGTCACAATGTGTTTTCTATTAAAAAAACCCCAAAGAACAAAAATTTATGAAAGTAGTTCTGTAATTACTATTTACATGTGATGTAAAATCAGGTCCATCTCTCACTAGTTGTTACTACAAACTTGAGGTCTAATTTTTCTGAAACGATTTCTTTTCAGACAGACTCATTGACAGTAAATTACAATTACCAGTAGTTCCAAGGGTGACTGTGTAAAAACAAAGTGCAACAAAACTATCACAGTGAGATCATGACAGGCCATTACCAAGCACTATAGCTGCACATTCTCTTGTCTGGGAGGGTTCCACAATCCTCACATTTTAGTAACACAGGCAAATAAGGCAAATTTCTATCTGGGGTATACTAAAAGGTCTTCTGTCCCTCATGACTGAAACAAGATGGACAGTCCTGGGGCCAACAGTACCTTGTCAGTTTTGAGGAAAAAAAAACCCAAACAACCCCAAAATGGTTTTGTACTTATCACCAATCCTTTAAGGGACTGAAACCAGTGACTTCATATATGCACACCTATTCCATGACAGAAATTTGTATACTTAATTCCATGATCACTTTATTTTCCTACATAGCAAGCCTATTTATTTGTTAACTGAACTGTCAAAATTATACAGAAAACAAAATCAAACCTATACTAGAAATACTTTTTATTATTATTTAGGCATTAGATTACTCTCCTTTGTAAACAAGCAATTAATTCTCTAGGTGGCTATAAAATTCCCCACAATATAATATGAACTAACTTATTTATGCAAGGTAGTTTTTGTAGGCTGAGAAGCCAGATTAAGTCACTGGTCCACAACTTTTCCTGGCCACAGAGGGTGTTAAAAGGTTTCATCCTGATGAGTATCATCAAAAAGTGGATACCTCTATCCACATGACTGACTCCAAAATCTAATACCTATCTTTGTGAGCAACACCTGTCAACCCCAAATAATTTCAGTTCCTTCTGGTTCTTTTCTCCTTTTCCTTTGTTGCATCCCAAATACGCTCAGCAACATCACCTCATCTATAGATGTGGTACAAAGCGATTCTAGTCTCTACAAGAAAAGCAGTGTAGTTGACAGGGGTCACAAATATAGATTATAGGACATCAGCATTACATAAAATAGAGCTTAGTATTCGCACTGTGAAGACTTATTTCCTGACCAAAAGCTGCATTTGCTGAATTATACCCTCAACAGAGGAAATTTTCAGCTGTGCATGACATACAAGTCAAAACTGTCAACGTCTTCCCCACCATTTACTTACATAGGTCCATAATATGGTTTCTGCAAATGGCACAGTTATCAACCACAATGTCCCAAGCCCACAGAGCTACTGCATTCCACTAGAGAGAGAGGGGGGGAAAAAGAAAAACATAGTTTTGAACGAATTTACAGCACACAGAAATCCTTGTTATTCCTCAAACTCCCATGTACTTTTTAAATGGAAAAGCTGGGATATTTAAAAAAGAGACCTTAGAAGTCCAGAGTAATTCTTTATCATGAGTTCAGGTTACTAGAAGGCAGTGGCACATTCCTCTCACATACTCTGCAGACTCAATGTCTCCTTCCAACTTCAGAAACAAGGTAAATCTCATAGTTCCCTTTTTTGTTAAACAAATGCAAACATCTGCATTTCTATTCAAGATCCAGAAGCAAGGATGCAGCTCATGCCATGTCCTCAATTCTGATGGAAAGGACAGTGCCTTAGAGAAAAGCCAATCCAGGTGCTATTTTAAAAGGAATTTCCATTATTTGCAGCAGTTCTTCTAGTAATCACCTCCCTCAGTGCAGTTGGGGTAAAGAACTAAAATCATCACTAATGCTACCCTTCACTGACTCCTGAACAACCTCCCCTGTCCCATGCTACAAATTTCCACGGCAATTTTAGAAAACTCATTCAAAATGAGGACTTTAAGACAAGCTATGCAGAAAAGCATAGTGCCTTTTTAATCCTCTGCACAAATCCCCCCAGCAATCAGGTCTTTTGTAAATTTATGAAAAAGGTGGGCTTGCCTTCAGCATTCAAAGCAATCCAAAATCATATTGGTAGCCAGGATAATCTTCATTTACTACTTAAGTAGTCTAGATACTTTGTTTCCTTCCATTTTTTGCAGTATATGATTGCATTGACTCTACTATAGTAAATCTTCTCTACTACATTCCATTTACATCTTAACATTCTCATTGCTTCCCCTCAGTTTGGGATTCTGAAGGAGAAACATAGACTGCCAAATATTGATAAGCAGTATCAATTTGGATCACTACTTCAATATTTCATTAGTACCGATATAAAAAGTCATCACAATACTACTAGATCATTTAGGAAATGGGTCACTAGTGATCTCATTTTTTCCCCTCCACCTTCCAACTCTAGGTCTAGCCAGCCTTCTGGGTCTCAAGGACTTCATCCACATCTCAAAGCAGCTAGGATGAAACTTCCCAGCACCCTTCTCTCTCCCACGCTCTCAGGTGCTTAATCTCTTGTCCAATCATAATCTACTCCCACAACCAGAGCCAGGCACACAACAAACTGCACCCTGGTACCTTGCTGGGGAGGATAAATGCCACTAACACATAAAAGGTGCCGCTTTGTGCTCCTCTCATGTGCTATTACATCTGCCCCTATTTCCCAAGGACAAGCAACCACGTCACCCAGACACCTCCTCCAGCACAGAGCTGCAGGCCTGTGCAGAGGTTTCCACCATCAGTGATGACAGCTGCATCTCAAATAAAGCACAGATCATTGCAAATGTTTGCTGACAGCCAGCCCAGGGGTCATTTTGCTTCAAATTCTACCTCAGCACAAGCTCACACAGCTTCCCTGCTTCCTCTGCACCCTCCTGCAACAGTCTCGGGCTATTGCCACCGTCCAGCTGTCAAACTGGTGGCACTGGACAGAAGG